CGGATCGGTGCAGCTTCTGCAGCAATGCGGTCGATGTACCGATCCGTCGTGGTGAAGAAGGAGCTGAGCTGTAAGGCGAAGCTCTCGATTTACTGGTCAATCTACGTTCCGACTCTCACCTATGGTCATGAACTTTGGGTCATGACCGAAAGGGCAAGATCCCGGATACAGGCGGCCGAAATGAGCTTTCTTCGCAGGGTGGCCGGGCGAACCCTCAGAGATAAGGTGAGGAGCTCGGTCACCCGGGAGGAGCTCAGAGTAGAACCGCTGCTCCTCCACATCGAGAGGAGCCAGCTGAGGTGGCTCGGGCATCTGTTTCGGATGCCTCCTGGGCGCCTTCCTAGGGAGGTGTTCCGGGCATGTCCCACTGGGAGGAGGCCCCGGGGAAGACCCAGGACACGCTGGAGGGACTATGTCTCTCGGCTGGCCTGGGAACGCCTCAGCATTCCCTTGGAGGAGCTGGAGGAAGTGTCTGGAGAGAGGGAAGTCTGGGCATCTTTGCTTAGACTGCTGCCCCCGCGACCCGGTCCCGGATAAGCGGAAGAAAATGGATGGATGGATGGAACTGGAAATATTCTGTACTTGTGTTTTATAGTCAGAAATGATCACATCTGCAGATTCAATCTGCACCATCAGTTTCACCACTGTTTGCCACTCCTATAGGTGGTGGTCCAATGGGTCCACACATTAGAAACTTAACTGGCCTTACTTCCATGTGCTCAGAGATCTGGGCATACATGGTCACAACCAACTGCTGTCAGACCAAATATTACTCTGTTAATATGTAAATATCTCCGGCTCAACACCAGTCAGTCAGAACTGATGAAGCCTCTTGGATGAGAGGTGAAACGTCTTCGACCTAGAAATCTAAGTCCAGTTGCTTTCTCTCTGCTATTAAATTTACCAAAAACAATTTTATTACCCTGTCTTTTCTTTCATATGAAGATGGATCTTTGGAAAACAGTGATGGTGAAACAAACCCTGGACAACATGTTTATGTGTACATCACTCTCTTGCTGTAATAGGGCTTTCACATTACTGAAACATCAAAACAGGTTGTTTCAAAGAGCTGCTGGTGGTAAGGCTACAGATCTGCCTGGAAATAAGAAAAGAAGAATGCTAGGGTTTCAGGTTCTGGCTCACAACAAATATTTGCTTTTCTTTATAAGGCCCTGCTGTTTATTCATTTCCCCCTACAACAACAAATTATAGAAGCTGTATTAAAAATAAAAGCCTTAATTGCTTGTAACAAAAGCAAAAAAACAAAATTTAATGACAATACAAAATGAAGCCATGTAAGAATGTTAATGCTGGAAAATGTATTTTGCCTTTTTCAAAAATGAAAACATTTGAATATCTTTACATTTCAGTTATAGTACATAATCTGAAACTCTATATATAAAAAGATGAAAGAAATGAACACTTTTTTTTTGCAAATGAACGCTATACACACATAAAACTCTCAAATATATTGATCAGTGCAACAATGTATCCTTTCAGTCCACTCTACAGTATCCTTTTTCTCTAGTTTAGTGGACATCACTGGAGCTACAGTCCTCTATAGCAGAAAGCGCAGATGGTACAGCGGAGAGGTTGAATTTGAAATGAACAGTCTAAAAATGTCTTCATCATGGCACCACGTACAAAGCACACAGATATAGGAGACCTCACCCTTCTCAGAGGCAGCTTTGAGATTGTTGGATTGTGGTGTGGAAAACTGCTGAGTTTCAGGTCCTGATAGTGTCAGTCTCAGATGGAGTTTGAAGTCCCTTCCCCTTGTAGTCTGTAATGGAGGAGTACAGTAGTTCATCCATTTGCAAAGAGTCTCAATATGAATTTTGAAGAGTTCACCTTGTGGTGCCATTTGTACTTCTTCTAAGCTTAAAAGGGATAAAGAACAGACACAATACTCTTCTCTATATGTCCCCTATTAATTCCCCTGACCTACTCTACAGGGTCTCTGCCAGAGCAGAGCAGAGCAAGTAGTCATTTCTTTTGTGAGTGCTGAGCATTGTTGAACTGAGAAATTGTGTGTGGGTGAGAACCCCCAGCAAACAAGAAAGGGGCAAGCATACTTTGGTGAAGCCACAGAGGGAGGCCAGTTGACCTGATTCAGGTGATGCCACTGGATCCCTCACCTGACCAGTGCCTTGTCGTCATGGCATCAGCTCTGACATCACAATGTTATGGTTGCTACAAGTGAAACGTAAAATTCTTTGTGACCCAAGTACCCTTAAGCTACAATATAGCATGTGAACAATACAAACTGGGTTTTTACCATGAGACACATGTTTGGCTAAAATTATGATAGCACCAATCTTCAGTTAAGGTATTTACCTCTCTTTTAATAGGCTCTTATTATGAGGAAATCAAAAGCAAAGTGCATTCAAGCTGCATTGTCCAGAAGGAACTGAACTATCCACAGTGACATTTGGAGTAATGACGATTGTTGTTTACTTGGTACGCTGGTAGACATTTTATATATGTTCCCACCTCTTTTGCAATTGATATGAGTATGTTGAAGCTATGTAAATTTGGATGGCCAGTCAAAGTCACAAAAGAGATAAGATCGGTAAAGACCAGAGGTTCC